TCTAAGGATCAGAAAATAATCGTGATTATTTGAAATGCTAATTAGCAAGGCTGCTGTGATTGTCCTTGGTGATAAGATGAGTAAAGCATTTGTGCCTTTCACAACAAAGATGAGAAGTAACGCAAAGGCATTTGAAGGGTGTTTGTGGGCCCAGTGATGAATTATTTGAGGATTCTCACTGTGACATCTGGATAGCATTCTGCCAAGGGAAGCAGTCATCAAGGAAAAAGCAAGCAACTCATCGACTGACAATTCAGATGTAGGGATGGAAACAAGGAGATGGATATTTGCAAAAAGAAATGTGGGTTAAATACGCTCTCAAAGCAAGATGGAGATGACTCTTGGAGAGCTTCAAGTTGCCAAGATGGACCCGCCAGCTTTCTTCTCAAGGTTTATCTCAAGGAGAAACACTCCTTGATATGATTACTAGGAATGACTTGAGAAGCACTCTTCCAATATCTAAAGAAGGACCAGGGAAGGCATAATAACAGTGCTGCAAAATCTGAAGGGCTGCCACAAGGAAGATGGGCTGCCACAGAGAGGAGAAGGGGGGTCAAGCTATTTTCTAAAGCACCTGAAGGCCAGACGAGGAACAAATGGATGGAAACTGAACAAAGAGAGATTCAATCTGGAAATAAGTAGAAACTTTCTGACAGTGAGAACAATCAACCCATGGAACAAAAGTTGCCTTCGGAAGTTGTGGGAGCTCCATTGCTGGAAAAGAAGAGACTGTACTGCCCGTCTGTCAGACATAGTGTAGGGTCTTCTTTGGCGGGGGTTGGACTAGATGACCTACAAGGTCCCTTCCAACTCTGTTAATCTAATCAAAGCCCCAGAAGGCAGGACAAGAAGCAACGGATGGATTAAGTCTCATTTTCTACTTCTCTTGAGAAGGTCACTTTCTCAGTGCTTGCTGAAAAGCCTACGATTGTCCCATATATTTTTTTTCTCAAGGGGAAAAATAAACCATATTTGTCTCACAACAGAAGCCCAGAAAAATTTCCCTTAAGCTTTGACCAAATCCAGATGATTCATATAAGGCATCAATTTGTAGAAAGGTTTGAGTGGTTTCCCCTCCTGGGGCAGAAAAAAATTAAAATTCTGCTTCTTACATTTTCTCTGAAATTTGGTTATAGGTGGCTGGCATTTCCCCGTAAAATGAAACAGTAAGGTGAACTTAAAATCGAACCGATCATTTGAAGAAAACACAGGGAAGCTGGCTCATTTGTTTCACCAATGTTGAGCCTCTGATCTTGAAGAGTCTCTTTTCCCTTTAGAAAAACGAAATAAATTCTCACCATCATTTTGTTTTCCTCACAAACAAAAAGACCTTTTTTAAAAAAAAAAAAAAAAATTGAAGTTAAGCCCTACACTGGCTGGAGACCATACGGTAAAAGCGAGACAGGGCTGGTGGAACAGAAGGGGACTGAGCATAAAATGTAACCAAAATGTGATTTATTTAAACTAATTAATGCAGGGAATACAATCGCTCCCTCTTTGGCCTGATAAAAATTACGGTTCTCTGCTTAGGTTTGGAAACGTGCCTTTGAGGCCCGTACCCGTGGCTTTTGTTGACCTTGAATCCTGTGTACTTGCCCTGAATAATTTCAAAGGGGCTTTTGGCATACAGCTCTGATCAGAGGCGTAGAACTGATAAATTTTCTCTCTTTGCAGCAGCCGCGCCTGAAAAAATGGGATAATGTTATTAAGGTGAGATTAAAGAGAGATGGAACGTGAGAAAGACCGTGGGTGAGAAGGGGAAGAGATGCTGCCTAAGGCATAAAAGTTGGAGGGAGCTGACAGATGAATAATGAGGATTGGGTAAGAAAAGTTAGAAAGGACTTCTAACTACTGCCTAACCTATCAGGCAGTAAAAAGAGAAGGTGGGCGCTTTGTTTTTTCAGACTTGCAAGAGGTTAAGGCATCAAAGTAGAATCGGGAAGGTTGTGAGTTCTAGTCCTACCTGAGGTATGAAATCTATTTGGGTGACTTTGGGTCCATCATCAGGAAACGGTGAATTCTAGTCCAGCCTTGGTCATAAAAGACAAATGGGTGACTTTGGGCCAATAAACAGGAGACAGAGAGTTGCAGTCCTGTCTTGGTCATGAAAACCAGCTGGATGACTTTGGGTGAATCGCTAGGAGACTGGGAGTTCTAGTCCCACCTTAGCTATGAAAGCCACCTTGGTGTCTTTGGGCCAGTCACTCTCCCTCAGTCCAATCCACCTCAAAGGGTGGGTTTTGGTGGGGAAAATAGGAGGGTGTGTTGGATATATTCATCACCCTTAACTTTAACTTTATTAATTATATAAAAATAATAAAGGTGGGATAGACATAAATAAATACATTGAAAGGCCACCTTAACAGAATTTTTGTTATCCAGTCATTCTTCTCTTTGTTAAGTTAAGTGCACCTAGAACCTTTAACTGTTCTTCATAGGAATTTTGCCCTTCTGGTCTCTTAATCATCTTGGTTGCTCTTCTCTGCACTCTTTCTCGCATCTTTTTTGTATCGTGGTGACCAGAACAGGTTGGAGTCTTTCAAATGTGGCCTCCCCAGTGCAGGATAGAGTAATATGAGCCATGGTGGTACAGTGGTTAGAGCACAGTACTGCAGGCCACTTCTGTTGACTGCTGACTGCCTGCAATTTGGCAGTTCGAATCTCACCAGGCTCAAGGTTGACTCAGCCTTCCTTCCTTCCTTCCAAGGTGGGTCAAATGAGGACCCAGATTGTTGGGGGTGATAGGCTGACTCTGTAAACCGCTTAGAGAGGGCTGTAAAGCACTGTGAAGCAGTATATAAGTCTAAGGGCTATTGCTATATTGGTCCACTTATGAATTCAAGAAAGCAAGCTGGCGGCTTATTATGAGCTTGCTGACTGCAGGGTCTCTTTGAGTTGGAGAAATTCAGTGACCTCATGCGAGAGAATTTATAGGAGCCATTTAACCCAACTCACAATTCCCAAAAGACTTTCAGAATTTGCTGAAAGGGATGAGGTAAAGTTGGAAGAAACACACAGCCTGTTTATATCCACATCTGCTTCGGGCAGCTCATATTGTGGGGTAGGGATTTAAAAAAAAAAGAATAGAGAAATGGTGTCTTTCAAAAATTTGTAATGAGAGCTGGGAGAAGGAAATGCTGATTAGAGAACAGATAAACACTCAGCATTATAATGGGTGGAGACACAGACTCAAAACGTCCCCTCTCTAATTTCTCAGGCTGTAGTAGAAATGGTGGGAGATTGGTCCTTTCAGACATGTAAAATTCTATTAATGTCGCTTTAGAATAAAGTTGAATTAGCATATCTGTCATGTTTCCTGCTTGGTCTACCTGGAAAGGCTGTCATCAGGAACAAGATTATTCTGCTAGAGTTCCTTATCCTGCCATCGACGTTTTGCACAGATTAATCATTTTTTTATCGTAATCCCTTCCTGAGTGTTGTCTGGCCCCATTTAACCTGGTTTGCTCTATTTCCCCCCCCTTTTTTTTCTGTGGCTCTGGATAATACGTGAATCATCCACAAACCGAAGGGCCGAAGTGGTGTTTCTGCAACCCTACTCATTGGCCAATTTGCAGGGAAATGTCAAGCAAAGGGTGTAAATGATTTAATTTGACAATCTGCTGCAAATTTGTACCCGGAGGCTTTGGTTGCTGCACCACGTAGCCAATGTGTTGATTGAAAAAATAATAATAATAACAATAACCATGGCTGCAGGGGAAATGAAATGAATGAGGTTCCATATTTCTCTGTTCTGCCTGTGACTAACAAGCTAGGATTTGGACTTCAGAACAGATTGTCCTGGTGGGGGTTTTGCTCTTGATCAATATTTGTAATCAAGAGGAGAATTGTCTAGAACAGAGCTGGAGGGAAAATGGTCCTTTTTGTGTAAAAGTTCCCCACCATGGAAGGAAAAAAATAACAAAGCCAGAGGGAGTCTGTAGTCTCCCTTGATGATTGGTGAGAGGTATGTCTAATCTAATGAAGAGAAGGACTAGGGGTGACATGAAAGCAGTCTTCCAACATTTGAGGGGCTGACACAGAGAGGAGGGTCAACCTATTTTCCAAAGGACCTGGGGGCAGTGTAGGAAATGACCAGGCTGAGCCCGAAGGAGGGGTCAAACGCATCATAAGTCCTGGGTCCATCCATACCCGCAAGAGATCAAAGTCTAGTCCATTTTGAACGCCCTTCTTATCCCCCGCTCATTTCTCTTGACCGTTAGTTGGTCAGATTCTTGTAGAGCGCTTAATCTTACAGTAAGTCCTTATACTCATTTGAACTGCCTGCATCTCCTGATTTCTCCGGCGTTTGACTGACAAGTCAAGAAGGACAGATGGGTGGATGGAGAGATGGAGAGAACGGATAGAAGTAATACAGATGGAAGCTTATCAAAGAGAGATCCAACCTAGAAATTTCCTGACAGAACAATTAATCAGTGGAACGGGTGCCTCCAGAAGTTGCAGATGCTCCATCGATGGACATTCTCAAGAAGCGGTTGGGCAGACATTTGTCTGGAATCCTTGAACAGAAGGTTGGACTAGAAGACCTCCAAGATCCCTTCCAACCCTATTGTTCTATGTTCTATGTATAAAGGAGAATATTTGCAGCTCACGGTTGAAATGAGGGCTCCTTGGTGCTCTCTGAGTAGTTTACCTGCAGATGTTTCACTACCCA